TGCAAAAATTCTTCGTGTGAAGTAGCTAAAATTTTCACTCGAGGTGTTTTATGCGCGAACGCGCTATTTCCTTTGTTTCCTAGTGCTAAAAACAGAATCAAGCGCAACTTTTGATAACTTGGCTTCGTGTCAACCCGTTAAGCTTTTTCTGTTCTTCATTGATCTGATTTTCGGTGGCTTTTTATGTTTTAATCTCGTTTTAGTTCCTTAAATTGCAACTGGCTCTCTGTGTGTCCAGCTCACTTTCTGGTTCGTCATGTTCCAAAATGGTAATCTGATTTTCTGAGACCTCCGGTCGGCTAAGTGAATCGATATCCAGATTCTTTTTTACAATTAATAAGAATTGAAGTTGGTCGCTCTATTATTGACAATTGAAGTAGGTCGCTCCATCAAGAATGTGGCAGCTCCATGGTGTGATTTGGCCAGAATGAAAGAATTTCGCCCAGGTTCGATTCGTTTGACTGCGCCATAGTAAAATATTAAGATGTTCCAACTAATATGTTCAAACTTTGTACAATTAAACTAAATATAAAACAATCAAGAATCAAGTTGAATTAAAGTGTCTGTTCTAAAATGAACACAAACTGTGAAGGATTGACTTTTTTTTGTGAAGCATTTTTTATCGCAAAAGGCGCGAAGCTCAGCTTCGCCTATGTATGTAAAGTTTTAAATTCTACCATTATTGCAAAAGCTTTGGCTGCTTGAAAAGTGGTACATGATTAATTGGGGAATATTTTTATGGTATTTTGTGTATGAATCATTGGGACAAAAAGTGCCCGGTCAGTTTTAAATTCTTTTCGACTTGTATTGTTTAATTAGCATAATGTCGTATTTTGATTTTTTTTGAGTAAGTAGAGTTAGTTGAATTTTCTTTTTCATCAAAAAATTTATTATTGATGATTGATATGATGTAATTATGGTAAATGATTTGCAGTTTGAAGAGCTTTTCAATCCAATTTGGATTTCCAGCTTGTTTTTTTCTCTAACAAAAATTATTTTAATGTTTGCTTTGCGGTAGAGAGGATTTCTGTGCAATCTTTCGCTGAGCACTTGAGTGACCAATTTTGCCTCGTAATGTACTCAAAAATACATTTTTGACCACCTGCCATCAAACCGACAATGTCTGAAGACAAGCTGTAAAATGATTGATAGTTCTGTTTCTATTACGGGTCAAATTTTGTTCCAGTAGCGTTACTCAGTAGCAGGTTTAGGACGGGCTTTTCATTTCAGGTAGTTGACCCCCTCATCTCCCGAAATGTCCATGATTTGGTATTAATGCAAGAAAATTACCTTTTGCTGCGTGACAATAAAAATTTTTCCAAAGACGTTTTTTGCCGAAGTCATGATTCCCAGCAGAACCTTCAAAAATTTGGTTTGAAGGGGTCTTCATGCTGATTTGGGGAGCTGGAAAAATGGTTCGAAAAAAGTGAAAAAAGCTGCAAATGCCTAATTATGAAAATTTGAATGCTAACACTTGTGTCGAAGAAGTTCTAATATTGATCGCCAGAAGGAAGATTTTTTTTTTAAATATGGAAATAGTGATCAGACAAAGCTCGTATCAAGGTAACACTTTGAATGTTACGACTTCTTTTTAATTTCAATGGGTAGATTTCCACATTGTTTCACTTGGTAGATCTCCAATAGTTGTGCATTTGATGAACCAATTGCATGGAGCTCAGCCGAAAGTTCAGAAAAACCAAACTTGGCAAAATTTTCTGAATCGCGAGGAATTTGTGTTTTGACCAAGTTTTTCAAAAAAATTTACCAGAAAAGGCTTATCGGAATCTCAAAATCATTCTATCTGGCTCCAAAAGAGCCTTTCGAAAACATTTAGGGCTGCGCTTTTTTGCACTAATTCATATTGAAATAAAGGGGGACCGTACTCTGAAAAAAATGATTTTTTGTTTAAAATCCTTAACGCCGCCAAAAATATCGTCATTTTAGTGTCATTTGAGAGAATTCGGAAAGTTATTTGGGCTAACCTAATAAAAATTGGATTATCTGCTCCTTCCTTGAAGAAATTCTAGATCGTTACTTGTGATACTACACAAAAATTTAGGAAGCATAAATAACCTTGAGTTACAAAAACTACATTTTCTCAAGTGAAACAAAAACTGCAAAAACGTATAATTTTGGTTCATCTTTCACGAACTGCAGAAGCAAAAAAATAGAAGATGTTTCGAAATGATTCGCCAGAAAGAACGTCATTTTTAAAATTAGGAAAAATAATCAGTTAAAGCTCTTACTAATTTAAAATTTTGATTGTTACGTTTTTCCTTCAATTTTATGGAAAGATTTCCAGTTTTTTCTTCTTTATCATATACCAGTCTACTGTTTGTTCCGTGGTAGGGATGAGTTTTGTGCAATCTTTCATGTTGCATTCGATGGAACGTAACATACACGACAGATTGCATAGGATTTTTTGAAGGGTTGGGGGATTGCGGTCAACTTTTTTGTTTATGTTTGGTAAGCCAACTTTACGCTTGCAATTAGCAAAGGTTAACTAACTGAAAAGAATCACTTGAATCATTTGTAATTTAAATCATAATAACGTCAAACTTCTATGCGTTCCTTGCTAAGTTATCCTGGAGATAACAAATATGCCTGGGACGGCAAAGATCCTACGTTCAAATCTGGGCAGCGCCTGTTTTTTTTTTCAAACTCGAACTATTCTGTTTCAAACAAAATTTTCGGCTAGTTATGTATCTACTTATGTTGTCGGCCTACTTGTCACATCTCGGATCGTTTTTTTTTTGCTGCGCAATTTTTTTTATTGTTTCTCTCAGTGTTTGATGTACTCATACAATTTCTACTTTTACTTTTTTCACTTCGTATTGCCTTCTTTGTTTTTTTTGTTTCGCTGAAAAACTTTCTTGGTCCAAATTTTTTCAGCCTATTTTTATCAGCGCATGGCACAATTTTAGGTCGTTTCAAGGGAAAGACCATTTTAATTCTCCCCTCCGCCCTTTTCAATTTGGTTGTATGTTTACCAATCGGTTTGTTGAATTTTTTTGTCATCGAAAATTAATTCCTTCAAAAAAGTCTGTGGGTTAACATTTGACCTGTATTAACTTTCTCAAAATTTACCGTTCTCAAGTCTGAGTTTTTGATTTCAATGATTGGAACAGTTTTGAAAAGCTCCCTGAATGAGCGACTACGCCCAAAATTTTTATGATTTAATTTTATGGCCCTCGGATGAGTCATATGTTTAATTTTTTGACCACTTCTTAAACTTGTTGAATATTCTCCAAACCACCCAGCCATATCTGAGATTTTGGGTTCAATTCACATAACGGGTTGAGGAAAACTATTTTGCTTACTTAGCGCAAATTTTTCTGAACCCGAAAGCTATGGTCCTCGGAAAAGTCAAAATGTTGATTTCTTGACTGTTTTCTGAATTGACTTTGACTACTCTCCCAATTGTGAGACTTTGGGTTTAATTGAAAATACAGGCTGCGTGATTTCATTCTGCATAAGTGGCTACTTCTACACATTTAAGGTGGCTACTTCCACACATTTAAATTTTTCACACAAAAATTTAAGGTTCTTGGAAGTGTCAAAATTTTGATTTATTGGCCGTTTTTTGAACTTTACTCGCTGTCAAATCTGATAACATAAGTTGAATTTCATCGCAAGTGATGACTTTTATGTTTCATTGCAAGTGATGCGAAGCTCCGCTTCGTCTCTGAGTGAATAATTGGAGCACTTCGAAAAATTTGAATGACTATACTTGGTTCAATTTCTGAGAAGTCAGCAATTTGGTGGAAAAATGTCATTTTGAGCATTTGCGGAACACTTTGACCAAAAAATGCTTTTCGGAGCCTTTAGAAAAAAGTTCGGGCTGTAATTATTATCAAAAACAATCAGAACTGCAGAAAAATAAATTTTTGTTTTGGCGAGAATTTTTTGACCAAAAAACCTAGATTGAACAAAGATTACTCGGGCATTTTCATTTCGTCATGCGGCATTTAAACTGCTGAAACAATTATTAATTGATCACATGTCAACTAAATGACAGTATCGAAGACAAGCTAAGAATTGATTGATAGTTCCGGGTCTATCACGGGGTCAAGTTTTGTTCCAGTAAATTTACCCAGTAAAGGACTTAGGCAGCTCTCCTCAGGCATTCGACCCACATCACCGCTCGAGGTGTTCCTCATTCGGTATTAATACAGAAAAATTACATTTTGCTGACCGACGAAAAAACTTTTGTCAAGACTTTTTTGCCCTGTTTATATCTGTAATGAGGGAGAGGGAATAGTGCGGCAAAAAAATCATTTTTCTGGTCAAAACCCCAGCACCGCAGAAAGTTTGGTCAAAATAGGGTCTTCATCGTGATTTGGGAGAGCAAGAAAAATCAATAATCTGCACCTGCCTTAAATCTTAAATTTGCCTCTGGTGGTAGCACACAATAAATTTTTTAACCAAACA